TTTGCAATTTTATACTCCTGAATCGGGTTGCTCCTTTTTTGTCGCTCTTCTAGAGTGATAAGATTGAGTATCGTCAGTCTATCCTCATAGTTTTTGTGCTTTATCTTTTTTAGATGAAGAGACCAGGCTTGGATGGCATACTTAAGATGTGGTCTAATGTATATTGTTTTTTAGTCTGCCAAGTACTTGGTTTGATCTAGCTGCTGCAGCTTCTACTTGATGCTCAACCTTGAGGTTAGGACACCTTAATCATGTTGTTTATTCCACCGTCGAGTAAAAGTACTGACTTATTTGAGTGACCAGCATGCATGACTTTACATTTGTTGAGGTTGAAAAACATAAGCCACTTCTTAGACCATTTGACTATATGATCTATGTCTAGTTATAGTTTTATTGCATCATCTTCTGTTTTAATGATCCCTAAGATCTTTTTGTCATTTGTATAGATCTTTATTTGATACACCATGTTGTCTGGAAGGTCATTTATATAAATCAGAAACAGAAGTAGACATAATACTGAACCATGTGGAACTCTTTTAGTAACATCTAACCTATATATATAATTTATTCTTAGGATATATCAGTATTTATGCATTCACAAACATTGATATATCCTAAAAATATATTATTTTTTACATGTATACCTGGAGCAAACCTGGAGCTGGCAATCTTTTATTAAAACCAGCCCCTGTCAAATATCAACCTTTGTTACTTACTATTGTTAGTATCTAACGAGACATGTCTTGAATGTTTCCAGTTATAATACCAGACTCACCTACAATAAAATGCAAAAAAAGCGCCCAAATACAATCGATGCTTTCAAAAACGATCTAGAATAGCCCCTGTCTTATGCCACAGTTTAAAAACTATTCTTTTTGGTTGCACATGAGCAAAGAAAAGCAATCCCTAAAATGTGACAATTTTTACTGATTCTGATGAGTTATGAAACATATATTTTTCATCTTTATAAAGCATTTTAAACCAACTGCAACAGCATTGTGACTGATCCCTAATTTATTTGTAATCCTCTAACCTGTTTAGGATGGCTTAACTTTCACTGAGTTCTTTAAATATTTGTCTTATATTACTATAGTTATACGACTACAAAGCTTCTTTTTTTGAGTCTAAAATCTCAATCCTTGATTTCAGGAATCAACAGTTTTTGGTGCTTTCTTTATCACTGCTCAGACCCTAAACTAGATTAATTTGTCAAACTGTTGATTCCAGAAGTATACATCTAAAAAATAATATATTTTTAGGATATATCAATGTTTGTGAATGCATAAAACATTGATACATCTTAAAAATAATTTTTTTTTAGCTAAATGATAAGATTGATAAATGATAACACTGTTTTCTAATATTGTATGTCTTGAATCTCTTATCATACTACTTTAATTTTAAATTGGGACAATCCACCATTTTGTGGTGATTATTCCAATTTAAAATTAAAATAGCATGAATTAGGGCTAATAAAAAATTGACAATAGCATCTTGTAGAGCAGGAAGCTTGCAGTGTATAAAAACACAATTACTCACTAATTGTGTTTTTATACACTGCAAGTTAATTAAAAAATGCATCAAAAATTATAATTTTTAATTACATTTGCAACAACAAAAAAATACAATTACATCAAAATTCTCATGACAGCCTAATGTTAAGGCTGAATTTATGATGAATTTTTTTCTTGTATAAATTAAATTTTTTTTTTAAATGTGGTTATTCCAAGACACAGGCCATAGCACAACAACTACCAACTCTTTTGCTTGGTTACTGATATAAAAACTACACTTATGCAATACTTATATTAAAAACTACTCTTTTATGCATTTTTTTGTTTTTTAAATTTATGTATTTAAATTTTATATTATAAGTTAATCTATTTTTTGGCATAAATTTAAACTTTTTTCAACAAACACTGTTTGTTGTTCTTAAAAATTATTTTTAAGTCTTTTATGTAACAAAAGCAATTGCATTGAACAAGGTATCAAATTTATTTATTCAATGTTTAATTAATAATAATTAAAATATATATATATACAGTCGTCAGAATTTGGATGGGCATTTGACAATATTGACCTAACTGCCGACCTTAAAGTGTTTGAGGTCAGTAATAAGTCACTAACCTTGTTTATATGTTTTATGGTAACCCCTTTGTATTAAAATATTTTTGCCGACCTCTAACATATTGAGGTTGGAAATTTATTGCCTAAGTCAAACTGTTTTCCATGCTTTTTTTAATTGTCTTAAACTTCAGTTTATTCTAAAGTTTGTCCCGTATTTTTTTAGGAATGTTTACTTCATGTCTGAAAATTATTTTTCTCAAGCTGCCTTAATTCCTGAACTAGAATTTAATAATTTTTAATAATGATTTGAAAAATAACTGCAGACAGTCTATTATGATTAATAAATGCAAAGCAGGTTGTCTTGTCAACCAGGATCTTGCTATCAAAAGCCGATTACAAAAATTTTAAAAATCTTATATTTACTTTATTATTGCTGTGTTCTTTTAAGAACATTGAGGATTCTATTTTGTTGAATACATTTAATAATATTCATATATATATATATATATATATATATATATATATATATATATATATATATATATATATATATATATATATATATATATATATATATATATATATATACATACAACCCTCCGAATTAGTAAAAATGAGGTCGGCATTAATTTGCTGATGACATTTATTTAGAGATCGGCTTCAGGTCGGCAAAAAAAAAATTTGATACAAAGGTTTTACAATAAAACATTTTTTTTTCCGAACTCAAACACTTTTAGGTTGGCATTGCCAAATGCTGACCCTAATTCTGAGGGCTGTGTGTATATATATATATATATATATATATATATATATATATATATATATATATATATATATATATATATATATATATATATATATATATATATGTTAGAGTTTATTTTGAAATTTTATTAAAAAATTTCAAAAACAATAAAAATTCTACTTAATATTTATTATTATAAGTTTTATTGCATAAAAATTATTTTGTAGCAAAAAATTAAAAAAAAAACATTTTTTTATGGTTTTTAGTCAAAATATTTTTTCAAGGTATTTTTAACAAAAAATCATAACTATTTTTGAAATTTTTATAAAGTTTCGCTTCTTTTGAGACCCAACATGACATACATTTTAAAAACTTTTTTTTCTTCTGTTTAAGTTATCGTCGCAAGTTTCAGATTCGAAGCGGCTAAATCTCATTCAATTTTGAAAAAATTTAACAGAGTGTCTTGTGAGTACCAATAGAAAGTTTTAAGAATAGGGACAAATCAATTTTTGAAAGTATGGTGTGTTTGATGCACCCTAATATATATATATATATATATATATATATATATATATATATATATATATATATATATATATATATATATATATATATATATATATATATATATATATATATATATATATATATATATAATTAATTAGCTATTGGTAGCAATTTTTTAAGATCATAGTTGTTGTTTTTATCACAGAGAACTGTAAATAAATTCATTTTCATGTGCATTTTTATTATAAATTGTAGCGCTGAATCAAAAATTTGTGATTGCAATCAACCACGTGATAATGCAACCAAAAAAAGTTGATTTAAAATTAAAAATTAACTTTCACTTAATTCATAAAATTTTTAAGTTAAATTTAGTAATTGATGCATCTGTTTTTATTGTAAATTAAATTCTTAATAAAATTATTAATAAAATTAATTTCTAAAATTTAATAATGTTCATTAGTTTTACATATTTGCCAGTTAATTGGAGATGTTTTTTTAACTTATTTCTTCAATGTGTATCAAAAAAGTTTTCTCAAGTTAATAATATAAAAACAGTTGGAAAACTAAAAAGTTGTTTTAAAAATTAGCTTTCCGCACTAGGTAAAACAAATTTTTGCAAAGTTTTTGTATTCAGCATTCTTAAATTGACTTACCGTAAAATATGTTATGCCATTGGTAATATGATAATGATAACTCAATTTTTTTTATTTTTGAATTGCACTTGTGTCTTTAGTTGCAGATATTTTAAACAATTAATATATTTTGAAAATAAATAATATTTAATAATTGACATAAGTTCTTTCTGAATGGAGAAACAATGAAAATTTTAAAACTTCAATTTTTTTTTTTTAAATCAAACCCAAAAGATAAATAATAATGCTTTTTGGTCCAAACAGTTATGATTTAAAAAAAAAAAAAAATTTTCTCTAGGCTCCAGAAGCCACTATATCATGAAAGCTAATAATTTTATATTACTTAGATAAAAACAACCTATTCTTTTTTCTAAATGGCAGATACAGTTGGTACTTTATTTTTTATGAAGTTTTAAATTAGTTTATATTTCCATGCATCCAGTATTGAAGAAATGATCTAAAATCTTCAAAATTTAAATGAATAATGATAATTATCTCAAAGATGAAAATTTTTTATAAAATCAAGTATTATTTTCTCATTCTTAAATTTTAAAGAAAAGTTCAATTTAAAATTTTAAAGAACAGTTCTTTGCTAAATAACTAAGAAATTGACCATTTTTATAAAGTAAGGAAATGACTGTACATTAATATCTAATTTGATTACCATATTATCTAGAGGCTGCACAGTTTCTTCATTATGGAGTATTCAAAATCAATTTATATACTCAATACCGTTGTTTATAGTCTCCCCTTTTTTTTAACTTTTTCAGTTGTTAAAAAAATTCTTTAACTTTATAACTGTGTCTTGAAAGGTTGTAAAACCTAGAAAAGTTAATAGCAAAAAAAACTAGAGTAAAAAATAATGATAGCTGGTTGATTTTTTCTTGTTATTATCCTGTTGACCATACTTTAAGTTCCACATAGTTTTTCTTTATTTCAAAGAGTGACATTTATAGACTATATTTTTACTTTATATTAATAATTGTTTTTTATTTATTTATTATTAATATTAGTAATTTAACTTATCTTTTTAAAATTTCATTTTAAAGTTTAGTTTTAGAAAAAAGTAATTAATTATGGATAAATTTTCTGAAGAAGAACCACACAAACCATCTTTTCTTTCACGGTTTTATACTGCTCTTGGACAGGTATGGTTTTTTTGTGTTTATTAACAGCTGTTAGTGACTTATAATTGTTTGATTTAAATTTTTTTTTGTGTTAAAAAATTTATGTTTTTTTTAATGCTGTGAGATATTTTATATGGTTGGCCATATAAATAAGGCGGACTAATGTAAAGGTATTTAAACTGTTAATGGACCCTTAGATTTTTTCATTGGAAAATTTTACTTGACCTTTTTATTTATTTATTATTATTATTGTTTTTTTTAACATACCATAAATAAACATGTAACTTGTAGACTATAAACAAACTTATTTAAGTTTATTTACTGAATCAAAACATCTAGTTAATATAACTTTTAAATATTACTTTCAAATATTTGTCTGTCAGGTCAGGCATATCTAATTTTTAAAATTACCTCATATTTTTTGGACCACATGTATCATCAAGAAATACTTGTCTTTGAAGTTGAATAAAGTGCTAACAAGCTTTTATCTTTCTCATAATGTAGATACTAATTTTGCATTATATTTTATTTTGAAAAATTTATGCAATATTACTAGGTTTGTTGCTTTTTTTTTTTTTTTTATGATATATTTTAGGTGCCCCAAAGAAGTTCTTATGGTCTTATCACAGAGCACAGCGGAAGAGGGGGGAAAGGATTTGAAAAGAATTTCACACCTCCTTCCTTACCGATGTTATAAAATATGCCCAGAGGTTGAACCACAGATTTCTACCTTCTAAGGCAAGCGCGTTAACCACTGCGCTATGGCTGCTCGACATTGTAATGACAACAGTAACACTTAAATGTTACATTTTAACATTTGTTAAAAATTCATTAATTAAAAAGCTAAATTTAAAAGTCTGTATTAATTGTTTTCTTGATAAATATCTTTATGAAAGATTTGCTAAAAAATAGAATCAAATAAAATAAAATCTTTAATAGATTTTTAGAATAAGGTGTTTTTAAATATCAAAAAATTTTTGATTTTGTAAACAGAGTATTACAAAGTTAATTAGTATCAATATGTAAATGTTTGATATATTTTCTTAAAAAAAAAATTGTAAGAGCTTCAATATATTTTTTAATAATTTTTAACATTAATATGAAATCAACTTGAAAGCATGTTTAAGTACTTTACCCAGAGCTGTGCTGTAACTATTTGGGGCACTGTGCTGTAAATTTATGGGCTCATAAAAAAAATTTAACTTTGTTAAATTCATATATATATCAATATAATCAATGGTCCTGGCATTTCCTATTGACAGCTACAGGCCTTGTGATGAATAAAAACTGCGCGACACATAAGCATGACATGATTTTTGACGTCATTAAATTCTTTTTATTTGCTTTTCATATTTATCAACATTAACTGCACCAATTTACTTAATTACCGCAAAACTACTTTAAATCATTAATGTAAAAATGTTATTATTTTAAAATGTTTTGGAATGTTTCGTTTTTTAAAATGTAAAAACATTTGTTTATTTTCTCGACGTTTGACACATTTTGTCTATACTAAACGAATAAAAAACATTATAACTAAACATTTTAAAAAAGATTATAAAATATGCTAATATTTGATTTTTTTTTTCTCAAATATATAATTTAAAGTTTTTCAAATAATTATTTTTTCTTTTTAAAAAGTCAGCGAGTAAAATTAAAAACTGTGCAATAGCTAATATTTTTACTAGCGATTTTATATAATATTTTTTTATTTTTATTTATTTTCATAAAGCGGTTGATAAGCACAATTACTCGTATTAATAAAAAACTTAAACGAACGTTTTGAATAGATTTTTAATGTTAACAAGGAATTTTATTTCTAGTAAAATAAAATAAAATGTTAGAATAAAAATCTTATAAGTTTAAAAAAAATATTTCAGCGAAAAAAATATTCTTAAAAAATATTATTAAAAATTATTCGAAAAACTATTGACGTTTTATTTTTCAGCAGCAGTTCTTGAGCACGCTTCGTTGAGTTTCGTTAACTTTTAACATAAAAGCGATCGTTATTATTTAAGTAATTTTTTTGAGTTACTTTTTACAAAAATTTTAATAACAGTACTTTTTTATTGAATCAAGTAGAATACGTTTTAATATTAATCCTTTTTTTTATTATTTATTTGCGCTCACCAATTTTTAAAATGTTTCCTCGAAATTACTCTTAAATACTTTAAATACGTCTAACAGTTAATAAATATTTTTAAATCTATGGAATAATTTTAAAATCTAACAAACCCCCGTAAAATAATTATTTAAGTTTAAAATCTAAAACAAAAAGAAAGTATTTTTGTTCAATTTTATCGACAACTTTGCTATTGCTGAATAATTTTATTAAAATGTTAGTTTAAAATATTTAAACTTGTTTTTTAATCTGAATTTTTTCTACTTGTAAATAAAGAGCATATTTAATTTTTTTTAATTCAAACTTTTATTTCAACTGCGTGCAGTTTTTAAAATACTTTATTAAATGTTAAAATAATCGTAAATTACTACATTAAAATTCCGCTCAAAAATATCTTCAAATATACTCAAACAAAAATTTTTTTGCTCGACGCAAATAGCCCTAGTGACACGCAAAATCGCTCTTGGACGACGTAAAATTCACATCGCCCGACGCTTTATCGCAAGGCCTGAGCTAATCCTGACAGTTTTTCCTGGGACTTAGTAGACCGTAGATAATTTGCAATTATTTTTAGTTTTGAAAATGATCGCTCACATTAAGCAAAGGTAATTGGTATTGTTAAAATTAGTTCTTTGAAATTTCTTTCTAAAATAAACTCTAAATTCTCTATAGTAATATAATTATCTTCTATAATATATATCTTAAAACATAAAGTTTATTTTTAAATTCCACCTTTTCAATATCAGCTTATAAGAATTTGACCATATTTGTACAATTAGTATTGAATTCATACATTTTATTCATAATTTTTAGCTTTTTACTATCAAAAAGCAAACAGAAAACTTGATTTAAAAAATTATATGATTCAAATAGTTCTTGCTATGAACCTTTTGCTATATTGATTAGTTGATTAAAATAAGGTTGTTTAAATTTATCTTCAGTCATTTTAGTTAGATGGTTATACTCATCATCAATTTCAGAAACACTCATTAGAGAAAAACGCAGCAAGATGGTGCATGAGGCATAATGGCTTTTTGTATAACAGCTCAACAAAAAAACTTGAAAATAGGTGAAAACGAAACTGTCATATCTTGTATTTTAAAACACCAATTTGTTTTTTTAGATATTATTTTGTTAGGAATGTTTTTTTTTTTTTTTTTAATTTTATATTTGGTGTTACTTTAGTTAGAATTATTGGTAGATTTTAAAATTTTACAAAATTAGAGACAGAAATCGCATAAGTTATCTTGTTCCGGTCACCTGACCAGATTATAAATTAATGAACTTTTTATTTTAATTTTTATTTCAAATATTTCTACTTCAAACTGAGAATTCATCCAGGCAATGAATCATTATGATAGCATAAAGAGGCAATTGCTTGGGCTATTAAACAGTGTACTGAGTACTATCTATCTTTTGAGTCAAGTTCTTTAACAAATTTAAAAATGAATAAAGTAACAAAACTATATAACACATAAAACCATTATCATCACCAAGTTTGCTAAACCTATCATTCACTAATATTTGTGATCTTCGAAGTAACTTTTCTTCTGTTGAGTCTTATCTCTTGCAAAGTTCACCAGACCTAATTGCTCTTTGTGAGACTAATTTGAGTTTAGTTGTCTCATCTTGTGATCTTAGTGTTGATTGTTATCTTCCTTTAATTTGTGAAGACTCCAATATTCACATGCTTGGCCTGGGTATTTACATTCTTAAGAATTCACTCATTTGTTGGGAAACTAGGTTTGAATCTACTGACTACTCTTTTATGTGCTTTCGTTTAGAACTATTTCACTCTATCACCTTTCTCTTTGTTCTATATCGCTCTCCTTTATCTCAAGACTGCACTCTTCTTGATGTTATTTCTGATTATATTGACCAAGCCCTCTCTCTTTATCCATCAGCCAATATCAGGCCTTGTATTAAAGCGTTACGCCTAGAGCGATTTATGTACGCCTAAAGCGCTTTTTACGTACACGTAGAGCTGTTTTGGTTAAGCTACTTTTTATCATTTTTTAACTTTTAAATTAGCGGTAACATAAAAAAAGTAATTAATTTTCAAAAAAACCACATTAACTTTTAAATAACGATATGTAAAGGTATTTATTAAAAAAAAGAATTTACTTTAAAATTAATTGTTGTAACTTTTCATCGCAATATATCTATATTCTATATTTATATTATATCTATATTCTATATTCTATATATATATATTATCTATATTCTATATTCTATATATATATATATCTATATATATATTCCTTTTTATAGCAATTAATTTGACGCTAAACTTTTTATCCAAATATTTAGCAACATGAAAAATTGTTTGTCAATCCTTAACTACAAATTTTTTGCAATGTTTTTAATAAAAAGTAGTAAAGTTTTTAGTAAAAAACTTTTAAAAAATCTATATTCCATATTTATTAATACAGAATATAAAAGTTTTTTGTAATATAGATTTTTTATGAATTTTTTACTGAATTTATAATAAAAAACATTTGCAAAAAAATTTGTAATTAAGAATTGACATTTTTTTTAATAAAATCTCAAAAAATGTCTTAATATTTTTGTTATCATGATAACAAAAATATCAAGACATTTTTTCGAGATGTTAAAAAAAGTCTTTGCTTTTCTTATTAGTTTAATAGTTTATAGCTTATAGTTAGTTTAATAGTATATAGCTTTTCTTATTAGTTTATTAGTATATAGTTTAAGTTATGCGGGGGGAGGGGGTCGGCACAGGAAAAAAAATTACCTGTTACTCGCAATATTTGAATGAAGACAATTTGTTAAAATTCTTCTGCGTGCGATTCAATAAGTTTTTTTTGTCATAAATCAAGTTATAATATAAGGTAAAGAAATCATGAGTAGACTACAACATCCGCTGATGACACTAATA